CTTCTGGAACTTTGTTCTGCGTAGTTCCCGTTGTTCTGCTTGGAACTAGGAAGTGTCGACCCTTGTAAAGAGGTCACTTCCGTTCCTCTGAGAACTTCCTGATTGGTTGAAAGAACCAACAGGGGTGTGGTCTTAGTGACGTAAGAGGGTCATTAAAAGTCAAGGAGACAGAGTAGATTGTTTTAAGAACAGACAGAAAGATGTTTTGAAGAACAGAGACTTTTAGGAGCCGTTTTCCTTCTATCTGTCTGATAGAGATAAACATGACATTTCGTTCCAATAAACATGTTTTTGACCGTTCCTTCACTTTTGACCGACTTACTCCTTCTCATTTCAGAAGGGGAATCAAAAATGCATCATTACTCTTGTAACAGACAATAACTTGATTTCTACTTTGAATGAGGATGAAAAATCATTAATACTGTTTCACAGTTGATTTAAAATGAGTAGTTCACTCAAGTCTCTGGATGAACTTAATTTGTGTTTCTGGACTCAAATCAATGAAATAACAGTTCTTGTCCCAGGAAGGCCCTCAGGGCCAGATTTTGACCTGAGGCTTAGTTCACTACAACACTGTGTCCAGTGAAGGTGGGGTGCTGTTGACTTCAACCAGTGATGTCGTCGGGAGGTGGAAGGAATACTTCTCGGACCATCTCAATCCCACCAGCCCTTCTTCCATGGAGGAAGCTGAGTCAGGGGACTTTGGTTTATCCATCCATAACTGTGGCTGAGGTCGCCAAGGTAATTGAAAAGCTCCGAGGTGGCAGGGCTCCTGGAGTGGATGAGATTCACCCTGATTTCCTTAAGGCTTAGAATGCTATGGGGCTGTCTTAGTTGACACGTGTTTGCAACGTCGCGTGGACATCGGGGTCAGTGCCACTGGATTAGCAACCTGGGGTGGTGGTTCCCCTCTTCAAAGGGGGGGATCGGAGGATGTGCTCCAATCATAGGGACATCATCTCCTTAGCCTCCCTGGTAAGGTCTATTCAGGGGTACTGGAGAAGCGAGTCCGATTGTTGGTCGAACCTCAGATCCAGAAGGACCAATGTGGGTTCCGTCCTGGCCTTGAAACACTGGATCAGCTCTTTACCCTCACTACGGTCCTCCAAGTGTCATGGGAGTTTGCCCATCCAGTCTTCATGTGTTTTGTGGACTTGGAGAAGGCATTAGACCGTGTTCCTTGGGATACACTGTGGGGGGGGGGGGGGGGTGCACTGTGAGTATAGGATTGGAGGTCTGTTGTTATGGGCTGTTCAGTCCCTATACAAGCGGTGCGAGAGTTTTGTTCACATTGCCAGTAATAAGTTGGACCCCTTCAGGGTGGGAGTTGGACTCTGCCAGGGCTGCCCATTGTCACGATTCTGTTAATAACTTTCAAGGTCAGAATTTCTTGGTACAGCCAGCTGACGGAATGTTGCCGGTTTGGTGGCCTCAAGATTCCGTCTCTACTCTTTACAGATGATGTGGTCTTGTTGGCATCATCGTGCCGTGATCTTCAGCTCTTACTGGAGCGGTTCGCAGCCAAGTGTGAAGCGGCTGGGATGAGAATCAGCACCTCCAAATCTGAGGCCATGGTCCTCAACCTGAAAAGAGTGGATTGTTCTCTTCAGGTTGAGGGTGAGGTTCTGCCTCAAGTGGAGGAGTTCAGATATCTCGGGGTTTTGTTCACGAGTGAGGGAAGTATGGAACATGAGATTGACAGATGGATTAGTGCAGCATCTGCAGTATTGCAGACTCTGTATCATTCTGTTTTAGTGAAGAGAGAGCTGAGCTGTAAGGCAAAGCTCTGTGTTTACTGGTCAGTCTATGTTCCTACCCTCACCTATGGTCACGAGCTCTGGGTAGTGACCGAAAGAATGAGATTGCAAATATAGGCGTTTGAAATGAGTTTCCTACGCAGGGTAGCTGGACTCTTCCTTAGAGATAGGGTGAGAAGTTCAGTTATCCGGGAGAAATTAAGAGTTGAACCACTACTCCTCTACGTTGAAAGGAGCCAGTTGAGGTAGTTCGGGCATCTGATAAGGATGCCCCCTGGGTGCCTCCCTAGGGAGGTGCTTCAGGCATGTCTAACTAGGAGGAGACCCCATGGAAGACCCTGGACATGCTGGAGAGACCATGTCTCTCGGTTGACCTGGGAATGCCTTGGAATCCTCCCATAAGAGCTGGAAGAGGTGGCTGTAGAAAGAGATGTCTGGGCCTCCCCCTGCTCAAGCTGCTGCCCCCGCGACCCGACTTTGGAACAAGTGGAAGATGATGGATGGATGGATGGACATTTTTTTTGTAATGCAACCTCACTTTTCCGTTACCAGTCTTACCAGCTTGTCAAAACAATGCTATTTACTGCTTGTGGTAAAGAAATACTATGAATAATATGCACTATTGAGTTAAGTCATTTGGCCTGACCCTCCACAATATTTTCTGTTACTCATGTGGCCACATAGAAAAAGTAATTGCCCACCCCTACTATAAAGGCATTGACATGTCCTCAACAAATGACAGAAAAGGCTGCCAATTGTCCCAGAATCTTCCTGCACATCTCTTCAGGGGGAATCTTCTTTTTTTCAAATGGATATGGTACATGACTTCTCTTATCCAGTGTATATAGGCTGGGGGGTGTGGGTCCTTCCAATTGCACAAAATGAGCCTCCTGGCCAGAAGAGAGTCAAACACAATCACATCCTTCTTGTATTTGCTGAAAGACTTATCCACAGGGATCACCCCAAACATTGAGATAAATGGTAATGGGTGAGCAGTTTTGCCACATATTCCAGAGAATGTGTCAAAAATAGATTGCCAAAAAGTCTGCATTTTGGGACATCCATAATGTATGCAAGAGTGTTGCTGGAGTTTGTTTACAACGGCCTTGATCTTGGACAGTTTGTCTTTGGACCAGTGCAGCCTGTGCACTACCTTGAATAGAATTACAGTATGTCTCAGATGGATTGAGGATGAGTAAAGGTTCTTAATAATATCTTGATGCATGCTCAATAATCCAGGTAGAAAAATCTTAAAAAGTTAAGTCGGGTCCTCTGGTCGGGTTCAAAAAAACAAAAAATTGTAGAAACGTTTCGTCTTTTATCTGAAAGACTTTATTCTGAGAAGCTGTATTCAGCTCAGTCTTATAAATAACACCTACATACAAAACTAGCTGTTCACATGATAAAGGAGGACCATCAGCCTAACAATGGATCGTTATCACCCTGATGGCTGCTTGCTATTCACAGGGGGCTGAGTGATACTAGCAACAACGGTATTGTAAGAGAGGGACAGTTGAACACGGAGGCCACCGCCCCTGTTTAATGATGGACGGTTTCTTTTCACAAAGATGACTTCGTTTACTCCTCTCTCAGGAGAAAACTTAACAGGCATGGTTATTCAGAGACATTCTTAAAGCTGTAATCAGATTACACTCTGCATTTGTGATAAACAGGATTATCCTTAGAAGCTTGTGCAGGTAAATAAATCTTCAGAGAAGCTTAAACTGTCACTTATGGCATCCAGAGAAAAACCGGAACTTGTGAGGATTAGCACATGAAATCCAGACCTCTTTCCTAAAGTCATAGGAATATTATTTCTTAGTTCTTCATCTTTTTTGAGTCCCAGAGTGAGGATTAATGTATATTCTGATAAACAGTCTGATGTATGACTCTACACCTCCTATGGTTGGGGTAATTGAAGTTGAGACTCTGTGGGCCAAAGTCATCACTCATGTCCAAACCGTCACTCTTCAGATCCCTCAGAGAAGGAATGCTGCTTCTAGAAACTCACAGAGGACGACCTGACTGAGACTGATTGGTTTTGATACCTGGATGATTGAGCATGAAGTTTGTAGTCAGATCAGAAGCATGTTCTTGTGTATATTTCAGGACTTAGGTGCCTCCAGTGAAAGTTCATGAAGAATTACATTATATAGTTCTGGTTCTGCTGAACTTTCTGTTGCTCTGTTTCAGTTTCCCACAGCGTTTGAGTTCAACGAGCTGCTCCTGCTCACCATCCTGGATCATCTCTACAGCTGCCGCTTTGGGACGTTCCTCTACAACTGTGAGAGTTCACGAGAGCAGCATGTAAGATCTCATGTCCTATCAGAGGTTCTGACTGACAGGCAGACAGACAGACACTTTATTAATGGAAAAATTGAGGTATCCAGTAGCATGTTCTAATTATACAGAAAAAGATGCATATGAAATAATTAGAGCGGTCAAAGTTAATGCGTTGCGATTAATCTAAAAGTATTATTGTATTAATATTACATAATACAGATTAAACACATTACCTATTTTGACCTATAAAGGCCTCTATCCTGCAGAGATAGAGCTGTCATTTCTAACCCGAAATGGAGCCCGGCCCGACCCAGATTCGGTCGGGTGGGCCATAATGTGTGTGTGTGTGTGTGTGTGTGTGTGTGTGTGTGTGTGTGTGTGTGTGTGCGCGCTCAATGTGCGGCCATTTGGTCTCGGGTTTTGATGTGATTTTACGAATCATACAGTAAAACTATATAAGAGTGTGTGGTATAAAATGATGTTAATCTACTTGTAGAGGAGGAGGCTTAAGTTTTTATGTTGAGAGTGTCGAGGAAAATTAACGAAACAACTCAAGACTTTTCAGTCTATTCACCTGTTCCTCTCATTGGTTCGGAGATACATGGAGAAAAGACTTCAAAAAGCGTTCAATACCAAAACAACTGGACTTTATTGGTAACAGAAGACGTTTCGCTCCTCATCCGAGGAGCTTTCTCAATTCAAAGAGCAGAGAGTGAGAGATTCAGGTTATAAGGCTGAGTGAGATAAGACACACACACATAAGACACACACACATATGTAGATTGGCAGTTCACACCTAAACACCTAAACAGTAGGTCTTTGTTCATCTAATTCACAGACGAGGCCCCTCTGTTCCCATCAAGTGTGAAAACCGGCTGGGGATCTGTTTTAAAGTTGCATTATAGGTTTTTGAAAGTGGAAATCTGAGGCCTCCTCCTCTGTTAAGAGACAGCTTTTCTCTTTTTACATAAATTGCTTCCTTCACCCCCCTCTCAAACCATCTGTGTTCTCGGTCCAAAATGTGCACATTTTGGTCCTCAAAAGAGTGTCCCATCTGTGAGGTGGAGGTGAACTGCAGAATTTTGTCCAGAGGAAGTGGCTCTCCTGTGTTGAGCCATGCGTCTGTGAAGAGGCTGTTTAGTTTCTCCAATGTAGAGGTCTGGACAGTCCTCGCTGCACTGGACCGCATACACTATACCACTCTGTTTGTTTATGGGTGTTTTGTCCTTAGGGTGGACCAGCCTCTGTCTGAGAGTCCTGCTGGGTTTGAAATGTACTGGGATCTTGTGTTTGTTGAAGATCCTTCTGAATTTATCTGATACTCCAGCAACATAAGGGATGACAATGTTTTTCCGTCTGTTGTTCTCCTTTTTCTGTTCATTAGTGTGTTTTGTAGATTTCCTCGCTGACTTGACAAAAGCCCAGTTAGGATATCCACATGTTTGAAGAGCTTCTTGAATGTGTTTTTGTTCCTTTTTCTTCTTTTCTGTCTTCGTGGGGACGCGTTCGGCCCTATGTTGTAAAGTTCTGATGACAGAGAGTTTGTGTTTCAGTGGATGGTGGGAGTCAAACAGAAGATACTGGTCTGTGTGGGTTGGTTTTCTGTAAACTTCAATGTTGAGGCTGTCCTTTCTCTCCATCTGAACCAAACAGTCCAGAAAAGGCAGTTTGTTGTCGTTTGCATCCTCTCTTGTGAACTTGATGTTGTTATCGACCGAGTTAATGTGTCTGGTGAACGCTTCTATTTCCTTAGCTTGGATTTTGACCCAGGTGTCATCCACATAACGGAACCAATGGCTTGGCGTTGTTCCCTCATAGGAGTGTAGGGCTCTCTGTTCCACTTCCTCCATGTAGAGATTGGCAACAATGGGTGACACTGGAGATCCCATGGCACAGCCTTGCTTCTGTCTGTAAAAACTGTCATTGAACTTGAAATAAGTGGTGGAGAGGCAGAGATCCAACAGGGTGCAGATCTGGTCTGGGGTGAAGTTGGTCCTGTTGATTAAGTCCTTTTCAAGTTTTTGCAGGTAATCTAAAAAAGAAAGAAAGTCACAGATTACCTGCAAAAACTTGAAAAGGAGAAAAAAATCAATCAATCTTTGTATTATAGATTGTACCCAGGGGAAGCCACTCCCTGTCTTTATGGACTTCCAAAAATACACAAAGAAGGAACACCACTCAGACCCATCATCAGCAGCATGAACTCAGTGACATACAATATTGCCAAACATCTGGCTGGTATTTTAGCTCCTCTTGTTGGAAACACACCTCATCACATAAAGAACTCCATTGATTTTGCTAACAAAGTTCAACACTTGAAACTAACCCCAGGAGAAACCTTTGTATCATATGATGTGACTTCTCTTTTCACATGCATACCCATCTCTGAAGCAGTAGAAAACATCAGAAAACAACTTCTACAAGACAAGGACTTAATCAACAGGACCAACTTCACCCCAGACCAGATCTGCACCCTGTTGGATCTCTGCCTCTCCACCACTTATTTCAAGTTCAATGACGGTTTTTACAGACAGAAGCACGGCTGTGCCATGGGATCTCCAGTGTCACCCATTGTTGCCAATCTCTACATGGAGGAAGTGGAACAGAGAGCCCTACACTCCTATGAGGGAACAACGCCAAGCCATTGGTTCCGTTATGTGGATGACACCTGGGTCAAAATCCAAGCTAAGGAAATAGAAGCGTTCACCAGACACATTAACTCGGTCGATAACAACATCAAGTTCACCAGAGAGGATGCAAACGACAACAAACTGCCTTTTCTGGACTGTTTGGTTCAGATGGAGAGAGAGGACAGCCTCAACATTGAGTTTACAGAAAACCAACCCACACAGACCAGTATCTTCTGTTTGACTCCCACCATCCTCTGAAACACAAACTCTCTGTCATCAGAACTTTACAACATCGGGCCGAACGCGTCCCCACGAAGACAGAAAAGAAGAAAAAGGAACAAAAACACATTCAAGAAGCTCTTCTAACATGTGGATATCCTAACTGGGCTTTTGTCAAGTCAGCGAGGAAATCTACAAAACACACCAATAAACAGAAAAAGGAGAACAACAGACGGAAAAACATTGTCATCCCTTATGTTGCTGGAGTATCAGAGAAATTCAGAAGGATCTTCAACAAACACAAGATCCCAGTACATTTCAAACCCAGCAGGACTCTCAAACAGAGGCTGGTCCACCCTAAGGACAAAACACCCATACACAAACAGAGTGGTGTAGTGTATGCGGTCCAGTGCTGCGAGGACTGTCCAGACCTCTACATTGGAGAAACTAAACAGCCTCTTCACAGACGCATGGCTCAACACAGGAGAGCCACTTCCTCTGGACAAAATTCTGCAGTTCACCTCCACCTCACAGATGGGACACTCTTTTGAGGACCAAAATGTGCACATTTTGGACCGAGAACACAGATGGTTTGAGAGGGGGATGAAGGAAGCAATTTATGTAAAAAGAGAAAAGCCGTCTCTTAACAGAGGAGGCCTCAGATTTCCACTTTCAAAAACATATAATGCAACTTGAAAACAGATCCCCAGCCGGTTTTCACACTTGATGGGAACAGAGGGGCATCGTCTGTGAATTAGATGAACAAAGACCTACAGTTTAGGTGTTCAGGTGTGAACTGCCAATCTACATATGTGTGTGTGTTTTATCTCACTCAGCCTTATAACCTGAATCTCTCACTCTCTGCTCTTTGAATTGAGAAAGCTCCTCGGATGAGGAGCGAAACGTCTTCTGTTACAAATAAAGTCCAGTTGTTTTGGTATTGAACGCTTTTTGAATTCATCATGTCCTGGATGACTGAGAATCTTCACCAGCATGGAGAAAAGACACAATAATCAGTCAGAGAGATTCAAGTTAAAAAGTATTATAAACATTTATTAAAGCTTTCAGCTGAAAGGAGACACTCTTACCCCAAACCAACAGAGACACAGCAAAAACCCAAGACACGTCTGACTATAGCTTCAGCATCTCCTGTATTTAAACACAAAAGCTCCACCCAGAGATGTGTCACACATTCTTAAGTTCTTTGTCTGAACTAGTTCAAACTGATGTCTTCATTTCCTGGAGTCCTTTTATGGAGTTGTTTTAATTTCTTCTTCTGCCATTCCAGTTTACTTGGTGATCTTGTCATCAGGTGGGGGACACACACCAGCAGCTTCCCTGTTCGTTCATGTCCCGTACACAAAAAACTTAAATACATTCTCTGACTTAGTTCACTCTGTACTTGTTGATACCAAAAGGCAAGCAGATCCAAAAGCCAAGCAGATACAGATAAAGGACAAGATACAGTTGTGATCCATCAAGCAATACAGCACGCCAGATAAGAGCGTCTTTACATTTTCCCCCTTTTGGTCTCTGAAAGAGACCATTACTCCTAACTATCCATCCCTGATTAGGTGTAGCTCCGCATGGCCTGGAAACCCCCCTGAGGCAGCTGTTCATTTTAAGGAGGAAAGCAAGACATCACCTCACACCTCTGTGACGGTGGTCATTTCTGACCCAGACCCCACCTGTACAGGAAAAGAAACTTTCCCTCATCTTTCTTGGTAAACACACAATGTAGCATTTTAGCAAAACAGGCAACTTTAAAGCTGGCGGGAACAGTCAGCCTCTTCCAGTAGCGGTGCAATGGCCTCTAAGGATAGTTCCATGGCTCGTCCCTGGCTGTACATTTGGTAAGCAGGAGGGCGCTCACTGCCACCTTTCTCAATTGCAGAGGTGATGAATCTGACTGCCAGTGAACGACAGCAGGGCACACAGCAACAGCCACAGACCACCATAATCCCTAAAAATGTAGCCACATACACTAACAGAGAGATTACTGATGTTTTCCATTTACCAAACATGTTTGAAAACCATTCTTCCAAGGGGTTCTCAATGCCTGAGTGTACGTGCATGGTCTTACTCAGTCTTCTCAGTCCCTCCAGTGCTCTGGTCACCGATGCGTCTGGGGCAGTGTTGTTAAGGATGAAAGTAGAACATTTTTCTCCAAGCACA